CACACACACACACACACACACACACACACACACACACACACACTCACGCACACACGCACACACACGGTTCAGAATAACATACCTGTCCCTGCCTAGGTAAGTCTGAACTTCAACTTTCACCCTCTACTTCCATACTTACAAAGGTGCGGCTTATCTTCTCCATTCTTTTTTCTGAAATTGACAAATGTCCCCAGGAGAAAATGTCCCCAGAGAAAAGCCATGCTTACCTCTCTGTATTTCCTTTTTAAGACATTATAATGGTAAATCATCACTATCTTCTTTGCTGTCTGATGTCTTCAAGTATATTTTAAAATATTTTGTGTATATTTTTATTTTTCATTTTTTTGGGTGCATCTTTTTAAGTTGTGTTCAGCAGGAGTTCGTCTGAATTATCTAATCCATCTTTGTCAGAAGTGAAAGTCCCTTCTCACTTAAGTTTTGAACACTTAACTTATGATATGTTTATATAATATGACTTCAATATTTGATTTTATTTGAAAGGTTCTGAGGCAGAAGCACCTGGATGATTGCCTGCGACGTGTGTCTGTAAGAAGATTTGAATCATTTAATCTGTTTTCAGTAACAGAAGCCAAGAAAACAGAAACTGAAGAGGAGGCTGGTACATGGGTCCAATATACAAGTGTCTTCTATCCTGAATATCGTATCTTCTTAAGGTAACTATTATTCTAGTTAAGATTTTTTAAAACTGTTTTTTCTCTTGAAGTAGAAAACAATCTACCCATCCCCATTACTCCTTTTATTGAATTTTAGGCAGTCTTTACTTATTCTTTATTTTTTAGGTATTGCAACTTTGTGTTAGAGAATTCTGCGGCTTTAAGCAGGTCTTCCTGTATTTTCAGACTAGAGGAAAAAAAAAATCCTCAGGAATATGGTGGCATTTGAGGACAATGTGGGTTGCAAATCAAAGGGTTCAGTTTAACTGTTCCCTCCTAGCATTTGATTATGACAAAAAGCCAAGTTCTTTTTGAGGCAAAGGAGGCTGAAAGTAAAAAGAGAATTTTTCCAAGTTACTCTTCAAGTAGTAGTTATCTGAAAAATCAAGCTTTGCTATTTTTCCCATTCATGTTTGTCACTTTCAGAATAGATTGTGAAGAATAGGAGGAGAAAATTCCGCTGAAAACACTGATATTGTGAGAAACACAAAGACTGTTCTGGCTTTAAAAAAATGTTAGAAAAGAGACAAGAGAATTGCAAACCGAAGTAACAAGATACCGCTGTTACTGAATTTATTTTCTCTCCAAGTTGTATTCTAGCATGTTGCAGTAATACTGTAGTTGTTTCATTTTATAAAATCTGCCTTTTCTGACAACTTCACATTTTGAAAGGGAGGGAGGAACACGTTTATAGTTATTGTAAGCAGAGCAAAAAAACATTTTTAGTAGAAATGTGACTTTCTAAGCCTTAGGTAAGGCTAGGAATAATTTTTAAGAAAAAAAATTTCACAAAGAATATCTATTTTTAGTATGTTTCTTGAACTTAGTTTAAAATATCTAAGTTTTAAAAAGCACCATAATAGTTGAAAATTTGAGATTTGAATAAAATTGACTAGGATGGGCTAGGAAGAAAAATTAGGATCTGGTTCCATAATATTTGTTTTGTGGAAACCACCAAATGAAAGAGACAAATTTGGGGATTTGTGAGTTTTTCTTTATGTTCATTATAAAATTCTAATTGGAGTACCTCAATGACCTTGTATTCTGTTAGAAATAATAGGTTCAGTCCTTTGTAAAGAAGGAAAGAAAAGTGCATTAAACACTTACTTACTATGCTCCAAGTACAGAGCTAGGTGCTTTGATGTATTTTGTTTCGTGTAATCCTGATAATAATTCTGGAAAGCAGGAATAAAGATAATTAAACAGTGGGAAGATAGTATTTGTAAGGAAATTAAAAAGAAGGACTAACAGAGTGATCCAGTCGGAGTTTTCAGGTGTGAACTTAAAACTTCTATATCCACTGGTAATAAGTGTAAATCGTAGCAAGAATAATTTCCTGCTATATTTAAGACCCTTATAAAGTTGGCCAGGGAAATATGAAATTTTCTGTTCTTGAAATCTTACAAAATAAGGTCTGGATTAACTGTCTAATAGAAATAATACTGACCTAAAATTATTTAGAATGCAGGCTATTGAGTAAATGGAGATTCCTTTCCAAAGCATGTTTTTTAGTGATATATTTATTTATGAAAAATACATGTATGTATGTATGTATACACACACATGAGATGTATATGATGTATATGTCACTGACTACTGAGTTAGGGAAAGAAGACAAGTAACTGAACTAAAATTTTGGCCTCAAGAGCTGCCAAGACCTTTTCTTTCTTTGCATTCTACGTAGTAACCCTCCATGTTAATAGAGCAAAAATAGCAATATCTTTTTCATTTATTTTTTTTTGTAGTTGTAGATGATAGCATGCCTCTATTTTATTTGTGTATTGTTATGTGTGCTATGGATCAGACCCAGTGCCTCACACATGGTAGGCAAGTGCTCTGCCACTGAGCTATAGCCCAGCCCCAAAATAGTAATATCTAAACATGGAATTCTAGAGCTGAATGCAATATTAGCATAAATTTTAAAAAATCATAACATTAATAATGCCTGGCAATTGATGCACTATTGTGAGTGGTTTCCATGTATCAGTATTTAATCCTCACAATAGCCCTGTTAGGTTAATATCGTCATCCTCATTTTACAGATATGTAAAATGAAGCACTTGGTTGAGGTCACATCACCAGTAGATAATTGTGCCTGTATTAAAACCCAGGTGGTCTGGTTCTGCAGCCTGTACCTACAAAAACAAACAAAATCCCCACCAAAACCCCGTTTATTTTGAAATAATTATAGATTTGCAGCAGTTTGTACAGTGTCTTCTATATAGCCTTCACCCAGCTCTCTTCATTGATAACATTATATACATTTTTTAAAAAAATTTTATGTGGTGCTAGAGATTGAACCAGGGCCTTATGCATGTGAGGCAAGCACTCTACCAACTGAGCTGTGTGTCCCCAACCCGATAATATTGTATACATGGATACACAGCCTGAACTTTTAGTTTTTACACTATCCTTCCTTTTATGAGAGAAGTCATACATTTTACAGATGAAGAAATTGAGGCCCAGATAAGTTAATTTCTTCATTGATTATTCTTAGTATTCTATTTCTTTCTCCTTAATCTTGTTATAGTAAATTGCTGAAATTACTGAATTACCTAGGGGAAAATTTCTGCCAAAAATAGTTCATTGATTCTGGGTATGAATTTTGTTCACATTGATTTCTTACATATTTATCACTTTTGCTTGTTTTCTGTTATCTGCCCATTATGAATCTTCACTCTTTTTCCTTTTATATCTGCATCAATTATTTTCAATCTGTTTCTATCACATTTCTTTAGGTAACACTCTTCAGTATTGTGTTATAGACATACTAAAAGTTTTTTTTTTAATTTTTTAAAATTACTTGCAACAGTCAAAAGAAGAGAAGTGTTTTAGAAAGAGGGTAAATAACTAGATGTTTGATTTCAAAGTATGATTGTACTTTGTTATTCTATGTTATTAAAAGGTGTATAAGCTGTAGCTTTAGCTAAAACTTTGATCATTATTTTTTGTTAGCTTTATATGATAATATTTAAAATGAAGGAATAAAAGAATTTCCCTTAATGACTTTTAATCAGAAACATTAGACTAGACAGTATACAAGTTAGATTCTGAAATCCCCAAGATCTGTTACCATTTTTATATATGGATGGCCAACTCTTTGTTCAAAAGTTTGAGAGTTAGGAAATTAAAATCCAGGGTACGAATACTCTTCTTTATTATTTGATAAAGTCTTGTTTTTCTGGAGCTTTATTTCTTAGAACTTTATTTTTTATTTTTTTTAGATAGAAAATCTTTTTAATACAATAACATATAAATTAAGTTCCTTGCTCTGTGAAATATAAAGATATCTATTAAATGAACTTATTGAAATATACATCTATTTTTAAAAAGTAGGTAATATCACTGTGGAAATAAGCTATATAGTTTTCTTTAAATTATTTTCAAACAAGTTAATAACGATTTTAATTTTTAAAATATTTTTCTTTTTTTATTGGTTGTTCAAAACATTACAAAGCTCTTGACATATCATATTTCATACATTAGATTCAAGTGGGTTATGAACTCCCATTTTTACAGATTGCAGAATCACATCACTTACACATCCACATGATGCCATATTAGTGACTGTTGTATTCTGCTACCTTTCCTATCCTCTATTATCCCCCCTCCCCTCCCCTCCCATCTTCTCTCTACCCCATCTACTGCAATTCATTTCTCTCCTTGTTTTTTTTCCCCATTCCCCTCACAACCTCTTCTATGTAATTTTGTATAACAATGAGGGTCTCCTTCCATTTCCATGCAATTTCCCTTTTCTCTCCCTTTCCCTCCCACCTCATGTCTCTGTTTAATGTTAGTCTTTTCTTCCTGCTCTTCCTCCCTACTCTGTTCTTAGTTGCTCTTATTATATCAAAGAAGACATTTGGCATTTGTTTTTTAGGGAAATTGGCTAGCTTCACTTAGCATAATCTGCTCTAGTGCCATCCATTTCCCTGCAAATTCCATGATTTAGAAATTTTTTAGTGCTGCTTAATACTCCATTGTGTATAAAGGCCATATTTTTTTAATCCATTCATCTATTGAAGGGCATCTAGGTTGGTTTCACAGTCTAGCTATTGTGAATTGTGCTGCTATGAACATCGATGTGGCAGTATCCCTGTAGTGTGCTCTTTTAAGGTCTTCAGGGAGTAGTCCGAGAAGGGCAATAGCTGGGTCAAATGGTGGTTCCATTCCCAGGAATCTCCATACTGCTTTCCAAATTGGCCGCACCAATTTGCAGTCCCACCAGCAATGTATAAGAGTACCCTTTTCCCCATATCTTCGCCAGCACTTGTTGTTGTTTGACTTCATAATGGCTGCCAATCTTACTGGAGAACTTTATTAAAGAGACTGTTCCTGTTAGGTAGATGCATATATAGAAAACTACAATGGAGCTGGGGCTGTAGCTCAGTGGTGGGGCACCTGCCTCGCACATGTGAGGCACTGGGTTTAATCCTCAGCACCACATAAAAATAAATAAAGATATTGTGACAATCTGCAACTAAAAAAATATTTTTAAAAAAGAAAGCAAACTAGACCAGGAGATGTTTATGTTTAATAAAAATCTTTTATTAAAATTTACCTGCCTCTGGGGCCTGGGGTTGTGGCTCAGCGGTAGAGCGCTGGCCTAGCACGTGCGAGGCCCTGGGTTCAATCCTTAGCACCACATAAAAATAAATAAATAAAATAAAGGTATTGACAACTACAACTAAAAAAAAAAATAGTAAATATAAAAAAATTACCTGCCTCTATCTTATAAGCTGAAATTTTATTATTTTATCGACTTTGCTATATAGGTACTAGAAATTGTCCTCGCACCCCCTATTTCAACTTAATTTCACTAAGCATTATGTTTGCTTCCATTATATTTGGAACTAATAGAAGTTCCTGAGTTATTCATTTATATATATGCATATTTTAGGTATAGTAAAAGGTGAGAGGTCTGAATTGTCCTTTCTTTGAAAAAGATTATTGTTGCTATGATAATAGGACTTTTAAAATAAGTTTCAGTGTGTACGGAA